GTGGGAGAAAGAAACACATAAAAGGTAGGGGGGTTAGAAGCCATATGGCATTTGACACTTCTCACATCCACATTACTAGGAGCAGAGCACCCTTCACAAACTGATCTAGCCACATGAATCAATTAAGTTGCAAACAAGAAACAATGTCAAGTCCACATATCTGCTTGCATCGATGTCGATTGCTCTCTCTCTCCTTCGATATACTCAGCTAAGCATCACAATGAATCGTCAGAGAAACAGTCCCAAATGTGACTTTACCACCTCTTTTTCTCAACCACACTGGGAAAGAATAAGCTAAACAGCTAATATCCTGACAATACTTTCAAAATTTCCAAGCAACGTGATAGAGATGATAGAAGCAGTCCAATTAGGCATCAAAATTGGTCCAACGATTTAAAACTACCGTTCCAGAATCTCTATGAGTTCTAGTAATTCGTGAAATAGGGGAAGACAGATCATAAATTCAATAATTGTAGAACACAGACCTCATCTATCTACGACGTCAGCCATATCAGAACCCTACCAAATAAGAGCAAATTAAACATTACCTGATGGATTGTTTTTGTATGCTTCGTGCGAAATTGGATAGCCAAATTGGGAAGGGCTTCGTCGAACACCGTAAACACTGCCATGGCCGGGAGAAATCCCTGCTTCTGGTGGGGTTGCAGTCCCAATTAGCAGAGGCCAACTTTATGAGACTATTTGGCGGAGAAGAAGAATCACAGACTACTTTAGTACTCCCTAGTGGCTAAGGCAGGCTTTTAAAAAGGCTTCAAACTCAGAAAATTACTCGCGGGTGACGCGAGTTTTGTCGAAATAACTTTCAGGTTTCTTTATTTTCAAAAAGACAACCGAGATCCTTATATTTTGTTGTAATGACTAGGAGGGGACATTTCATCCAATACATCATCCGTAAGTGTTAATAAATGTACTTTTTTCCTATTTTTCCAATACCATTTTTTCCTATTTTGCCATTACTTTGTTTTTTCTTTTTTTAAATTTTTTTATTTCATTTGTTTTAATATAATACAAACAATTTTGAATTTTTATACAATTTTATAGAAGAAATTCTAAAATAACACTTTAAAAAATAGTAACAAAATGAAAGAAAAACAAAGAAATAAAAAAAGGAGCGACCTAAGATTTATTACCTTAAAACATTTAGAAAAGAATAGGAAAAAAAATATTTATTAACGTTTATAGATGAAATATTGGATGAAATGTCCCCTTCCAGTCATTACAACAAAATGTAAGGACCTCTGCTATCTTCTTGAAAATAGAAGGACCTGAGAGTTATTTCAACAAAACTCGCGTCACCCGTGAGTAATTTTCTGCTTCAAACTTCTACTTTTTTACATTTTGAATACATATTTTTTAAAATTAAATTAATAAGATTTCATTAATTGAATTTAAATAATAATAATTTATTAAATAAAAAAATTACATTCAAAAAATTATATTAATAAATATAAAGATTTGAATAATAACAGCATCAATAAAAATTAAAACTAAAGAAAAATATAAACACTTTATTTTTCAGTTTTAACACATTTTTATAAAAATTAATTATAAAAATAAAGAAAATACCTTGAATGCGTTATAATTACCCTCCTCCATGTTGACTTGAAATAAAAATGTGTTAAAACTGAAAAATAAAGTGTTTATATTTTAACTGGATAAGTCATGAATAATGTTTCAAATGAAAATTTAGAAAATTTAAAATTGATATAGTCCAGAATTTATATTTTATAAATCTTTTCAACGAATATAATTTTGATTATGAAATATGTACTTTAAAATTCTTTATTATGTGAAATAATATTTCCTTTTATTTTATATCACTCCGTAGTTACCAACACATACTTAATAATTTACCGCCATCATTTAAAATGTCACGTATTCTGTTTAGTTGGCAGTCCAGAGTATTTCTATAAAATCAAACAATTTCTGGGAGTAATGATGTAAATTATTCAGTTTCGGAGTATTAACGTATAATCACAAATTTCTGGGAGTGTTCGTGTGAATTTTTCCTTTAGATAATTGGGGAGGACTTTGGCATGGACATGCCAAATTTCACTTTGGCGCTGCTCAAACTTTGAAATACGGATATATTTCCCCATATGTATTTTTGCACAAAATTTGGCAGGGAATTTGACCCGTTGAGACATGGATTCAACATCCGTTACACTGGCACTATGTTAGGCAGACTAAGGCTTCGTTCCGTTCAGCTTATTTTTTCTTATTTTTTCTTATTCTTATTAAAATCAGATCAGATTAGACCAGATCAGATCGAATCAGATCAGACCAGACCAGATCAGATCAGATCGAATCAGATCAGATCCAATCAGATCATATCATATCAGATCAGATCCAATCAGATCAGATCAGATCAGGACTTATTAAAATAAGATCTCTTCAAGAATTATTATTATTATTATATTATTATTATTATTATTATATTATTATTATATTATTATTATTATTATTATTATTATTATTATTATTATTATTATGATCATCATCATCATCATCATCGTCATTATTATTATTATTATTATTCTTAAAAATGAAAAAGAATAAACTTTAGAAATAGGTTAAATAAAAAGCTAAGAAAGTAATCCTTAATTATTAGACGTCGGAAAAATTAGTTTTAAAATACATTGACAATGTCAATCTAATTCTACTTTTAAAATATATTTTTATTACTACTTGTAATTTGAGTTTCTAAACTTTTGATCTTTTATAAGGATGAGATATTTTAATAAAAATACTATCTATTCTATATATTGATTATCTAAATTTAATTACTTTTAAATGTATATCTAAATTAAATATTTATTCTAATGTATAATTCTAATTTTTCAAAAAAATTATCATAAAATAAAAAATATTATTACATTATAATATGAATGATTATTCTAATATATGAATTAACTATTTTTATTTTATTAAAAAACAATCATTAAATAAAAAATATTGATTATATTATAATATTAATTATCATTACAATTTTCAAACGTTATTATAAAGTCAAATTAAATTATTGATTTGAAATTTTAAATTAAATCATAATTAATCAGATCAGACCAGATCAGATCAGATCCAATTAGATCAGATCAGATCCGATCAGATCAGATCAGATCAGATCCGATCAGATCAGATCAGATCAGACCAGATCTTATTAAAATCAGATCAGATCAGAAAAAATAAGTTGAACGGAACGGAGCCTAAGTGTATGCCGACAAACGAACAAATAAAAACACGCTATCTGGACTACTTTTCTGTATTTCTCTCGTCACAACATAGTTGGTGCCAATTTTTCTGTGAAAAATCTATATTTTTTTGTAGTGTGCACCGAATGATATTGACTAGTCTGAAACTAAAAAAAAGTATTTTAAAGCCCCACCATTGCGCTTAAGAGGTTGAAATTATATGATTGATGGTTATGAGATCTACTTAAAAATATGAAATTATAACCTTAATGTTGTGTTTCTAATTGAATTGATTTTTTGGAAAAATATTTGAATATTATCAAGAAGTCTCAAATTTAAGTTACTGTCATACAGTTTTAAAAAATTAGTGTTCACGTATAAAAGTGGAGCAAAAATAAATATGCCTTCGCCAGCCATGCATATAAATTCCTGGATCTGCCACCCAAAACATCCTTAGGTAGGTGCTTGATCAAAAAAAATTGACAGGATATATGGTAAGGCATATGGAATAATTGTTCCTAACTGATGTGTTTTTTGACGAAATCGCCTAACCACAACATAGCACTTCTTTGGTTGCAAAATTAAGTTTATACTCTTGGTTAGACTACTCCGTATTTCTAAGCTAAATTTGTGCTCCCTAATTTCAGCCCATGTCGATAACATAGCACAAATCCTAAAATCATAAACACCTTGGTCACAAACTATACAAGTTTGTCATTTATGAACATCAACAAGTAAATAAAACATCTTACACAATTAGAAAATAAAAAAATTATATACACAAATTGAAAGTTTGTGACCAAAGTGTTTGTAAGTCTAGCTTTACTTTTTCAATAAGTATGTTCTGTAATAGATTTCGATAGTACCGAACTACCGCCCACAATTTTCACCCTAAGAATTTGAGAAACTATAAATAGACAAATGGCCACACTCCATTTCTCACAATTAGAATTGAAGCAATTAAGTTCATAAAAGAAATCATCATCCATTTACATTCTCAAAAATGGAGCGCCGTTTTAAGCTCATGGCCGCCATTACAGCCATAGCTTTAGCTTCTTCTTCTTCTTCTGTATTATTTGCAGGTGCATCAGATCCCAGCAATTTGCTCGACTATAGTGTGGCCATCGATGACTCCAAGGCCAATGGTACAATTTTGCACATTTAATTTCATCATCTTTAATTTTCAGGCAATGCTAACTTGCGGTACCCCCATTTGTATACTAAGCTAACACATACACATAATGTCTGTGTGGCACAGACATTACGTGTCTGTGTGTGTCTATGTTAGCTTGGTGTACAAATGAAGTACCCATGTTAGTGTATCCATGGGTTATTTGTTAATTTTCAAGTGATATATATATATATATATATATATATATATATATATATATATATATATATGAAAATTACAATGAAATTGTACCATTATTGATTATTTATATATACTGTTGTGGGTCCAGCCCATTTTATTTGGGTTCCATTTTTCTTTGGTGGAGGGCCCAATTGTGTTTTTACTTTGTTGACTAAAAAAAAAGGAGAGTAAAAAAAAGGGGCTGGGCAGTGGTGCACTTACGGACAGAGCAGAAAAGAAAAAAAAACAGAATAGAGAGAGGAAAGGTGCTGGTGCAGAATTTACAGACCAGCCGCACAAATTCGATCATCTCCGGAGATCCGACCGTTGGATTGAGCTGAAATTTTCAGAGGTTGTTCCCAACACTTAGGACTTCAATCTGTTCAATTTTCACTTCAATCGGAGCTACGGATCTTCTGTAATCGCAGCTGGTGCGACGCTGCGTTTTTGGGTGATAATCCTGATTTTCCTTCTCTATTGTTGATGCCTCTTATGTATGTTGTTGTTGGTGGGCTGTGACATCCTTGTAGACTGAGTTTGGGTGTTTTTACCCTCAATTTGCATAATAAGAGAAGAAGAGGGCGGACTCCCTATAAGTCCCGTGGTTTTTATCCTTCACATCGAAGGGGTTTTCCACGTATAAAAATCGTGTGTCGTTTGCATCTTTATTCTTCATATTTGATTGTGGTTTATTTGATGTGCTGCTGATTTTGTGTGCTTGGTTAATCAATTGTGGTAAATTGGGTCAAGTGNTGCCTCTTATGTATGTTGTTGTTGGTGGGCTGTGACATCCTTGTAGACTGAGTTTGGGTGTTTTTACCCTCAATTTGCATAATAAGAGAAGAAGAGGGCGGACTCCCTATAAGTCCCGTGGTTTTTATCCTTCACATCGAAGGGGTTTTCCACGTATAAAAATCGTGTGTCGTTTGCATCTTTATTCTTCATATTTGATTGTGGTTTATTTGATGTGCTGCTGATTTTGTGTGTTTGGTTAATCAATTGTGGTAAATTGGGTCAAGTGTTTGGTTGGTTGTCTTGAAGTTGATCCTTGTAGGTGTTGTATCTTACTTGTTGCTTCTCCCCACAACATATACATTACTGACAGTTTTTGTGAATGGAAAGATATGCAAGAATCCCAATGAAGTGAAAGCGGATGATTTCTACCTCCAAGCCCTTCTTCACGTACCAAGAAACACATCAAATCCTTTAGGTGGGTCATTAATTAGTTTTGAATGAATCACGCCAATTATTTGTAACCCATTTTGTTTTGTTACTTGTGCACAACTTATAAAGTATTGCCTCTCCTAATATTTATATACATTAGGGTTTGTGATATCGGCGGTAAACGTTGAAAAACTACCGGGACTAAACTCGCTAGGCCTTGGAATAGGTCGTATCGATATCGGACCTTACGGGGCGAACCCACCCCACAGCCACCCGTACGGGAGTGAAGTGATCGCTGTCTTGGAGGGCACAGTCTACGCAGGGTTCGTGGACTCGAACAACAAACTATTCGCGAAGACACTTAACCCGGGGGGACGTTTTCGTCTACCCGAAGGGTCTGGTTCATTTCCAGTATAACCTCAAGGGGAGCCATGCCGTTTTGTTTGCTGCGTTGGGGGCCCAAACCACAGTGGGCATCATTGCAGCCAATTCTGTGTTTGCCACTGATCCTCCCATTCTTCCTGATCTTCTCAGCAAATCCTTCCAATTGGACAAAAATGTCATCACTCATCTCCAATCACAATATTGGGAAGACAACAGTCATTGATTATTTGATGTACTCCGTACTTTGTACTAAGCATGCACAATAAATCAATCAAAAGATAAAAAAATAAAACATTAATGTATAGTATCAATTATCATATCTATATATCCTACACACATGTGTGTGTGACAGGGGTATACATGCATTCTCATTTGCTAGGGCATTTGAGAAATTTTTTTGATAAAAATTGTCAAAAGTCACTACGTCTAAAATATAAAGTGAAATGAATATTAAAGCCTTCTACATTATGCTTCCTTCTTGAAATACATTCCTAATATGACTTGGTATAAAAACTCAAAAAAAATTATGTAGTTGAAAGTTACGTTAAAAAAAGAAAGGTGGCGAGTTACAAAAATGTCCAAAAATAAACATGAACTTTTTTTTGGAAAGTTTTGGCCATGCTAAAAAAACATTCATTTTAACCTCGTGTGTGATAATATGCAACACCATTATATCTTACATACATACATATACACATTGGTGTCACAAATTTTGTCAAAATTGGTGTGTTATAGATATTTTTTTATCCTTTGTTTTGAATTTTTTTTAAAAAAATAATTCAATTTTATCCTTTTAGGGCATTTACCACCTTATTATTCTTCATCATCATCTTTTTTTTGCTAACATTTTTAGAGTAGGAGTTTTGTAGAGAAAATTGAAAAGAAGATTTAGGTGGGTTATGCAATTTGACTCACCTATGTTCGTTGAACGATCAATTTCCGCCACACACGGTGGCTTAAGAGCGCGCCAACAATGTCTCTTTTCTCTCTTACACACCTGCAAAACCATCAAACAGCTTACCCAGATTCACGCTCAAATCATCACCGGCGGGCTAACCCAGAAGAACTTCATTCTTGGAAAGCTTCTATCAATCTGCATCTTCTTCCAAAGATTGCCCTATGCAACCCAAGTTTTCGAATTGGTTCGAGATCCAAGCACCATTCTCTGGAATCAAATCATCAGAGGCCATGCCAGTAGCGACGAGCCACGATTATCCGTTCTGTATTTCCAGAAAATGGAAAAGTCCACTGCTTTACCTGATGGGTATACATATTCGTATGTGGTTAATGGTTGTGGGAAAGGGGTTCTGCTGAGTGAAGGCGAGCAGGTTCACGGTAAGATCTTGAGGAATGGGTATGTCTCTGATCTGTTCGTTCAAACGAATTTGGTGAACTTCTATTCTGCCATGGGCACTGAACGTGGAATGGTTGGTGCGGATAAGGTGTTCGGAGAAATGACTGAGAGAAATGTGGTGTCTTGGAATCCATTGATCTCAGGGTATTTCAGGTGTGGGAATGTCAGTGAGGCGTGCCGGATTTTCCATGAAATGCCCGAGAGGAGTGTTGTTTCATGGACTGCTATGATAGCAGGGTGTGCGCAGAACGATAGATGCAAAGAAGCATTGTATTATTTCCACGAAATGCGAAGGAATGGCGTGGAATTTGACCGGGTGACATTGGTGTCCATTCTCTCCACTTGTGCAGAAATGGCTTTCTTGAATCTGGGCAGATGGGTACATTCATACATTCTTGAATCCACAACTCCTGAAAGGGGACCAGTGTCGATATCATTGAACAATGCACTCATACACATGTACGCTTGCTGTGGTGAAATTAAGGATGCTCATAGGGTATTCAAGGATATGCCAGAGAGAACCACTGTTTCTTGGAATACCATGATAACTGCTTTTGCCAAACAGGGCTATGCAGAAGAGAGTATCACAGTGTTCCGGGAGATGGAAACCGCAAAGGCCAAGAAGGACGAAATCACATTCTTGGGCGTATTGTGTGCGTGTAGTCGTGCCGGTTATGTCAATGAAGGGAGATTCTACTTCAAAAGAATGATCGAATGTTTCGGGTTGGAGCCGAGAATACAGCACTATGGCTGCATGGTTGATCTCCTTAGTCGAGCTGGATTGCTAGATGAAGCAGCGAGACTTGTCCAGAGCATGCCTATGAAGCCAAACAATGCTGTATGGGGTGCTCTTCTAAGTGGCTGCATTATTCACAAAAACATAAAGCTTGCTTCTGGGATGGAACACAAGTTCGTCGTCGAGCTTGAACCAGAAAGATCTGTTGGCTACTTTGTGCTCTTGTCCAATCTGTACGCTGCTGAAAGGAGGTGGTTGGCCATGGTTGGCGCAAGGCGCAAGATGTACGAGATAGGAGCGAGGAAGCCTCCGGGTCAAAGTAGGATCGGTGTCGATGGAGCCGACCATGATTTTCTGGCCGGTGACACAACTCACAAACATGCTTCTCTGATCTATGAAATGCTTGATGAGATCACTCGGCAAGCTAAGTTGCAATCTGACATTTTGGACTCTCTTTTATAGTTCTTCAGCACTTGTTTGATCATTAGAGTTTGCAGCAATTTATAAGGTTGCCATTTTTTTCGCAATATGTGAGGTTCTAGGGAAATCCAGCAATTATTTATTCAGCAAAAATTGAATGAACATGGACACACATGATGTCTACATTCAATTGATTCTTAATGAAAGTAGAAAGCAGTTACTTAAGAACGGTGGGAGTAAGTTATAACTTGAAATGGATGTGAGAGACGGTTTTTTCTTGAGAAACTAGAACAATTTTTTTGCAAAATAACAACGAGCCCATTTCTAAGAATATATGAGTAGATTTTTTCTTTGGCAAAAGGATACGTAGTCCATTTATACTTCTCTTGCTTCGCCTGAACAGAAGATTATATTGACCAATGAGCAGATTCTTGAAGCCATCCACTGGTAAACGGGTGACAAACTTTACCAACCTTAAACCTGCAAGAGCAAATCTTGATCTCAAAAACTGTTTCAAAACTAATCCCACCAAAGCGGTGTTGCTTTTCCGTGAGCTTCTGAGAAAAAAGGTTTCTTGCATAGACAGCTACTCTCTTCTGTATGTCATCAAATCTTGCACCCAGAAATCTTTGTTTCTTGAAGGAAAACAATCCCATGCGTTTGTAGTCAAACTGGGTTTTGAGCCCATAATTTTTCTCCAAACATCACTCATGGACATGTACTCTGCTAGTGCAAATCTTAGGGGTGCACGTAAGGTGTTCGATGAAATACCCAGTAAGAATGTTGTGTGCTGGACTTCATTAGTGACTGCTTTTGCTCATAATCAGAAACCCAATAGAGCTATAAAGGCATTCTGGCAAATGCTGAGGTCAAATGTCAGTGCCGATCCCATCATTCTCACTGCCGTTCTAACTGCTTGTGCTGATGCCGGGGCACTGGATGTAGGAGAGCAGATTCATGCTGACATTCTTAAAAAATACAGGAAGGGTACAGATTTGCCCTTGGAGACCGCACTCTTGAACATGTACGCAAAGTGCGGGGATCTAAGTACAGCCAAGACACTGTTCCATGGAATGTGGAAAAAGGATGTCGCGACATGGACTTCTATGATTCTTGGACTTGCATTCCATGGCCAAGCGGAAGAAGCACTGATGATTTTCGCATCAATGGAAGAACATAATAACAGCCACAGGGCCAAAGGAATAACAGTCCTTCCCAACGATGTTACATTCATAGGAGTTTTAATGGCATGTAGCCACACAGGAAGGGTGGAAGAAGGCAAGAGGTACTTCAGAACCATGGTCAAAGACTATCGCATAAAGCCAAGAGTCTCCCACTATGGGTGTATGGTGGATTTGCTTTGCAGAAACGGGATGGTAAAAGAAGCATATTGTTTCATTATGGAAATGCCCATTCCTCCAAATGCGGTAATATGGAGAACCCTGTTGGGATCGTGCGGCATTCATGGAGATGCCAAGCTTGCAGCCATGGCTCATGGTAAGCTGGTTGAGATGGGAGAGGCACTTGCTGGGGATCATGTTATGCTGTCTAATATATGTGCTGCCAAAGGCATGTGGGAGGAGAAAGCCAGACTTAGAGATGATATGAGGCAAAGAAGGATTCCCGGAAGGAGCTCAATTAAGGCGGGACTCCATATTCCTCTGTAATCAAGGTGTGTTAGAGTGTTAAACTTTTTGTAAAATTTAGGACTAAAACATAAGTCATTTTCCAATGTAGGACTTAAACTTTTTTATTCCCTAAATAAGACTTAATAATGTCTAGAGGGAGAAATAATGCCCAGAGATGGTAGACATTTACTTGAATAAAGACTAATGGATAATGACCAATGGTCCTACATTGAGAAATAAAAACATATGGTCCTATATAAAAAAAGTCATTATGTTTTAGTCCTATTTAGATAAATTTCTCAAACTTTTTTTGACTGAGTCGGTTCGTTGACATGGACACATGGTATCAAAGGGATTCAAAGCTTTGTTGACTCAGAGGTTATGAGTTTGAATCTCACTGTCACATTGAACACTTAAGCTAAAAAAAAGACATATAAGAATATGACTTACTCACCTCATAGCCAATTGATTTTGGATTGGAATCTCACAATTTTATAAGGTGGGATCGTACGTGTGAACAATTTTTACTTTGTGTGACTTTTTCGTTGTTGTAAATTTATACAGAATGTAAAACATGATCCAGAGACTTTGGTAATCACTAATCTCACAAAACAACTAATTATGGTGGACTTTGAAATTGATGACAGAAAGCTGTAAAAAGTCTATGATTGAATTGCGTATAGTGTGGGAAATAGACCAAATAGTTAATGACTTAGAATACGCTTAGCCTTATTAGGATATAAATTTACCCAAATCCATAATTATTACTACTCCCTATTATATGTCTGTAAGACAGAGTAATAAATTCAATGCATAGCACATACTTGCCAAAACATAACATGGAGTGATTGATTTATATTTGGTAATAATTCTCGATAAACTTCCATAAATTATTCCTAGAAGAGAATTGTATAAAGTTAATAAAAAAAGAAGAAAAAAAAAAGAGCAACATTTTTGTTGAACAATGAAGAAAGACAAAAGCAGAACCAAACACTGTGTGCTATCATGGTCCATTCTGGTTGCTCTGTTGCTCAACCTAACGGTTCTGCTTTCTGTCTTCTCGCGCCTGAAAGAGAAGCAACTCTTCGGTGGCTTCTCGGCCGCGGCAAAACCTCATCAAGGTTAATATCTTTCTGCCATTTAGATTAATATTTCTTGTTATGGCTCATGATTAGCCCAGTGCATTATACTGTTGTTTTAATTATTACGGTACATTTTTTTGTTGTTGTCCAGACTTGGGAGGGGAAGAAGAAGAAACAAAAGATCTACTCGGGGGGCTTCTGCCTCCGGGATTCGAAGAAGGATCGTGTCAAAGTAGGCATGGATCAGTTCATTACTTGATGAGAAGGCTAAAGCGTCCGCCTTCTCCACATCTTCTCTCCAAGCTTAGAAGCTACGAATCTCTTCACAGGCGATGTGGGCCCCACACCGAATCCTATAACCGAACCGTGAAACTCATAGAGTCATCATCAGCTCCCACCGAGTGCAGGTATGTCCTTTGGTCACCTTTCGCCGGGTTGGGGAACAGGATGCTGACAATGGCTTCTGCATTCCTATACTCCCTTCTCACCAATCGAGTCCTCATCGTGGATTTTCGCGACCACACTCCGGATCTATTCTGTGATCCCTTCCCCGGAACTTCTTGGTTCCTGCCGCGAGATTTTCCCCTTGTTCATTACCTGGGAGTGCTTAACAAGAGCTCTTCTCATTGCCACGGATATATGGTCAAAAACCATCTCACTAAAAAGTCTTCGCGAATTCCCCCCTTTGTGTATCTGAATCTGATCTACGACATGGATCGATACGACGAAACCTTCTTCCTTGAAGGCCAAGAGCAGACGTTCTTAAACAAAGTACCGTGGCTGTTTATGTCGTCCGACGAGTACTTCATCCCCTCTCTTTTCATGATGCAATCTTTCAGCGAAGAACTTGGGAACATGTTCCCCGACAAAGACGCCGTGTTCCACCTCCTTGGACGGTATGTTTTAGAAAACCTTATACTCCATGTCAGCAAAGTGTTGATACCATGTAAGGGAAGCAACTCAACAACAAGCTTGACATGACATTTCTGAATATATATATATAATAGGTACTTGTTTCATCCCACAGATCTAGTGTGGGGTATGATCACCAGATACCACAGAGCTTACTTGGCCGGAGCCGACGAGAAGATCGGAATCCAGATCAGAGAGTTTGAGGGATGGCTAAAGCCTCAGCAACACATTCTAAATCAGATTATGGCATGCATTTCAACAGGGAATATACTCCCACGGATCAATGAAGATGATTACCTGCCGGACGGATCCAATGCCCGGGACCAAAAGAACAAGACAAAGGTGGTCCTGGTAACATCGTTGGTCTCCGGGTACGCCGACCGGATCCGGCTAATGTACACATTGTATCCAACGGAGACCGGGGAGGTGGTCCGGGTACACGAGCCGAGCCAGGAGGAGCATCAGAAGATGAGTGATTTGTTGCACTACATGAGGGCGTTGGCGGAGATTTACCTTATTGGGATGAGTGACACGTTGGTCACCAGCGGGCGGTCGACTTTCGGGTACGTGGCTCAGGGTCTCGGAGGATTGAAGCCTTGGGTCATGTACCGGCCGAAGAATCAGACCACGGCCCCGGACCCGCCATGTGGACGGGTGGGTTCCATGGAGCCTTGCTTCCACCTTCCTCCTACCCATGTCACAATGGCGCATGTTCCTTACGTTAGGCCCTGTGAAGATGAAGTCAATGGCCTTAAGCTCTACAAGGACACCACTTAATCAAGTAGGGTCATATCAGTCTCTTACTTCTAAGTTGATACTCCCTTCCTTAAAAAATGTTTATCACATTATGCAACACAAAACACATTTTAAAGTTTTTTCAATTTGTTTTATTTAAAAATTGGTGCAGAAATATAAAATAAAATTTACATGTTTAAAAATTACGCTAAAAAATCTTTAAAACAAGTGGTGACGAGATCAAATGTTTTATTATATCAATCAATGAAAACGCACAAATAACTAAAAAAATTTGTGACTTTTGAATAGTGAATTGTAATATTCGTTTTGAGAGGAGTATATTTTACATCCAGATATTTATTGTATGGGTAATGCTAAATCCATCCCATAATTGGCTAAATCTGCTACCTATACATTTTATAAGAAATGGGCACCTATGCCACTCACTTCTTTCTTTCTTTCTTTCTTTCTTTCTTTCTTTCTTTATCTCAAGCATTAAGGATAAACTTATTCATTTAACACAAAAAGGAGTGAATATAGCGAAATATAGAGTGGATTTAGAAATAAGCATATATCAATTATATACACAAGACATACAAGATTTGTTTTTTCATTTTTTTTGCATATATATAGTTAGTGTATGTACATTATGTAGTAATTAATGAGCATCATTTGTAGTACCACACTATTCAATGTATGACAGTGAATGATGTTTGCATTCTAATTTTTGCTATTGTCACTCTAAAATATACTCCCTCCGTCCCAAAAAGTCTTTCATATTTCATTTTTTGCGCATCTTATAAAACACTTCTACCGACATCTAAAATACCTAAAATTTACAACATTTCATCTTTATTGTGGGTAGAAGTTATTTTGAAAGTTTTTTTTGGCATTCAAGGCAGGATAAAAATGTTTTATGGGATGCACAAAAAATAAAACAGGAAAGATTTTTTGGGACAGAGGGAGTTTTATACTATAGAGTAAGTTCATTTGATAAAAATGAATATTATTATTTACGTTTTGAAGTGGCAATAACAAGATTTGGAGTGTAATTATTATTTTCTCATCATCATTTTATTTTAATCCTCATACTGATGGAACATTATTGATTCTTTTTATCTTTTTGTGAATAAATATCTACTACTACAACGTTAGACCATTTCATTTACTTTCATTCAATAAAAGTCAAATGAGATAGACTAAATAGTGGTAATTAACACACTGGTACCCAATTTTTCTGTGTCTATAAAGAAGTAATTTGGCTTCTTGCTAAGAAAGTCCAAGGTTGAATGGTGACAATCAGAAGTAAAATTTACACTAAATAGGACTAAAACATAAGTCATTTCACAATGTAGGACTTAAACTTTTTTATTTCCTTAAATAGGACTTAATAATGTCTAGTGAGAAGAATAATGCCCAAGTGATGCTGGACATTTAGTTGAATAATGACTAATAAATAATGACCAATGGTCCTATATTGGAAAATAAAAACATATGATTCAATATTGAGAAAGTCATTATGTTTTAGTCGTATTTAGGTACTTAGGGGTGGGTTCGGTTTTCACCCAAAACCAAAGACAAAACAGAAGGTAAATTGGCGGTTCGGTTCGGTTCGGTTTGCATAAAAAAATATGTAAACCATTGGTTATTTGGTTCGGTTTTATACGGTTTTTATTTCGATTTTTTTTGTTTTATCGGTTTACAAAAGTAGAATTTTTAAGCATTAAAAAATTGTAAAAATACTAACTCGATGAAACAATAACAATATGTAGTGTTAGCTTTAGGTTTTTTGTTTGATTTTTACACAAAAACAAAAATCAGACGAAAGGTTATTGTTCCTTTCGGTTCAATTTTACATAAAAAATATGTGTTGAGTGCCAACAAACATTTAGAAAATTCCAAATACTTCTAAAGACATTGTATGTAAAATCAATTACGAAGAATTTATATTTTTGGTATAATACTTTCATTTTCATTATAACATCAAAGTATTTTTTAGTAAAATATGTAAATTACTCGTATCAATTTTTAATGTTAATATAATTCTATATTAGGATTAGCTATTGATGTTCATATTCTTAGGGTTTTTTAAAGTTTATAATAATATGGCTAGAATATTTAATTAATAGTTAAGAAAATAATTTTAATCGACTAGTAATTTATTTGCATTTATATTTCTATGACTTTTCTACATATCACATATATTCATATAAAATCCACAATTTTTGTTTTAAATATAAAATGTTTGTTCCCTTTCTGCAAAATCCACAATTTTTGTTTTAAATATAAAATGTTTATTTTTAAAAAATACGTAGTATTATTTAAAGTTTAATTAACTAAAATTAAAAATAATTTCAATAGTAAATGTTGAATAGAAATGTTGTTGGGAAGGGGAGAGTATATATATATAATTAGCATGGATTGAGTGTGTGTTAAGAATGAGCATATAGACAAATGAAAGCTTATTTATTCAGTGATTCAAAATAATAATTAATCACATTCAATGGAACACGTGGGATTAAAGGTTTGGTCACACGAAATATTTTCCATACAAATATGGGAAGGATATTTCTTTTTGACACTTTGGAAAACAGAAGATAATTATTCCTTCAATAGAATTTTTTTTTTCTTGTTGATGAAATGCAATAATAATTGATGAGCTGGCTTCCCTCATTTCCCATTATCCTTAACACACTACATACGTTTCTTTCTTTCCCATAAAATCCTTACCTGCACCGTATTCATACGTATATCCTCCGTATTTTTATTTTTAATAAATACGTAAAACAATAATTATATAAATACGAATTTCATGTGACACTACTACGATTGAACACGAGTTATATTATAGACGGAGTCGAAAAATGGGCATTAAGCACGAGGTTTAATGGGAGCATGACATAAATACGTACAACTATGAATTTTCGTGTCAGAATTGTACGTATTTTTATACTTCCTCCGTCCCGGAAAACATGGGAGTTTTGGTTTTGGAAAAGGATTTAAGGGGAATGTATTTTGGTTTTGAATATCCTTTGATGTGATGGGTAAAAGTATGATTTGATGGATAGATTATTAGTAAAAAGGTATGATGTGATAGGTAGGGTATGAAAAAATAAGGGATAAAAGTGACTTTTTAATAGAAATAAGAAGTGTTTTTTGGGACGGATGAAAAAAGAAAGAAAAAAGGTTTTCTGGGACGGAAGGAGTATATTTTTATTTTGAATATAATAGATATATTTAAATAATTATTTAATCTGTCACATTTTTTGTATGTGCGGAAGCGAAATACGATCAGAATACACAATCATACGGTTCCATTTCCCACTCATCAAACAAATATATGCCTACGTGTCCACTATATTTCTGCTTTTTAAAGGAAATTATTTAATTGGTGATAATTAATTAGAAAATTATTGGCAATTACATTCTCATTTGGTGTTGCATGCCAAAAATATAATAATCGGAAAATGAAAAACTTGGACATAAATTCTCCACAGCATAAGAATGGTATTTGTTTTATATGCACGTGTAAGAATGTATGAGGGCAAAAATGGTCAAATAGTCAAATACATATACACAGCCCGTTGACCAAAGTATCGTGTATGTTTACTGCTCCCGTATTATGTACGTTATTGATACGAATATCGGTATCGGATACATAAAAATTTCGAGCTTCCTCAAGATAGTTATAAGAAGAGGAAAAGAGAAATTAAAGATGAAAAAATTCGAGCGTTTCCCGATTTCAAGAGAAAAGAATTTTTTCTTAATTGATGATTCTAATGGGTTACATCTCTTGTCGTTATACTCCTAATAATAATAGTGAAATTTCTAACTCTAATTATAATAAAATTTAAAATAGAAGAAGAAACTCTAACCCTAATAATAATAGTGAAATTTCTAACTCTAATTATAATAAAATACTAACTAAATCTATTCAAAATGATAAATCTATTTCAAAGCAATGTTCTCAAACAAGGCATTACTCAAAAGATCTTTTACTTACCATCCATTCTTAAGAAATGAATTTAAAATATCAAATACTCCATCCGTTTTTTAAAAGTGATCCTATTTTGACTTTGTGTAAAAATAAGGAAGTGATAAATTGTAGTTGACTTCCAATTTTGCCCTCTTGATGTGATGGGTAAAAGTAAGATGTGATGTATTGAGTATTAGAGAAAAAGTATGATGTGATAGGTAGGGTATGAAAAAGTAAGGGTAAAAGTGGGTTTTTAATAGAAAGTGGAAGTGTTTTGTTGGAAGTAAAAAAAATGAAAGAGGAAGAACGGAGGGAGTAAGTGTTTTCAATGAATTTGTAAGTCATTCGTGTCAATAATGCTCAGACATTGTATATATATAATAAATATGTCTGTTTACACCCTTGAAAAATGAGAAACACAAAATTAAATTAAAATAAGTATGGTATTTTTAACAAATGACAAGAGACTCATTGAAAACGTTGAACAAACAACAGATAGTGAAACGAAAATACGAAGTTGGTTGAAGATTTGTTTCATATACTGCAACTCTCATATCATTTTTCTTAGCTTCTAATGAGACCAATTCAAGTTCTCTCCAATTTCTTTTTTTATTTATTACTTGTTCTTTTTGGAAGACAGATCATAAATAACTTTAAATATAATATTCAGATCGACAGATCAGATCAAATCAGATCAGAACTTATTCCAGTCAGATCAGAATTAATCCGATAAGGTGACATGACCTAAATTGTCCTAGCTAGTAGCTAGCTCGTGTGGTGCAGTGGGATGAATTGAAATAGAGATTCCTCTACATGCCCATCCCCTCCAAATGTTTGTAAGAATAAAATTAATTAATACAAATGCGATACCAATATAATACCAAAAAACCCAAAATAAAAAATACAGCCAATTGATTGCTATCCTCCACTACAACTACAAGTTGAAAATAATCCTTTCTTTTTTTTTCCTGTTTTTCATTTTTAAAAAAAATAAAAGAAAGAAAAAGATACGTAGGAAAGAAAGAGTGACATCGATCCATGTATGCATTGGCAAAAAATGGTGGCTACAAATCCCCCAATTTGTTAGCCGCCGGACAACTGACGCCATGCATATATAATGAACCACCTTTACGTTCGATCGTTGCATGTTGTTTTATACTTATTTTTTTGTTGTTCCTCATCATCACATTAATTAATTAATTATAAATAAATAAATGTACGCAAATTTTTTTATAATAATAAACGTAATGTACGTATACCAGAAGCTGACTATTAATTAAGGTTATTAAAACCTCATAATAATTAACTTAGCCAAAATCTAGTAATTCGAAATGCTTAAAGTTCATGTGTGTGTGTGTGAAGATTTAATTTGTCTCTCCATTGTTATAAATCAACGATAGGGACGCCTATTTAATTTGCAGGCAGGATATATGTCTGTCTAGTGCATGTCTGTTTTTTCTTAAGCATAGAAGTTAGTCACTCGAGTATTAATTGTACTCCCTCCGTCCCAAATTATTTGCCACATTTGTATTCCCGAGGCAAAATATACAATTCATTTTATTTACATATTAGTATAAAAATAAAAAATAAAATTTATATATAAAAAAACTACATGAAAAGTTCTTCGAAATAAGAGGTGTCAAGAATATTTTATTTTATCAAATAACCAATGAAAACGTCGAAATAAACAAAAGTTCCCGCAACTGCTGAAAAAACAAATGTTGTGAATATTTAGGGACGGAGGGAGTATTTATTACTCATATATACCAAAGAAGTTTATTCATTTTATGATTTTTTTTGGACATTTAAAAAAATAATTTTCACTCATTTTATTTTTTAATTAAATACGATCATTTTATTTTTAATTTTTTAATTAAATACGCTCAAATAATAATACATTATTTAGGGTAACACACAATACATTTTACTTTTTAACATTTTTATTATTAAATTTTGTAAAAGTCAAATGGGAAACAATTGATGAAGTTAAAAGTCAAAATGGTTAAATTTAATGGACATGGCCCAGCCAAAGGCTGTCTTCAAGGGCAGCAATGTAGATACTAAAAAAAGTCGGCGGCACTCCTAACAAATTTATAAAGTTCAATTTGTAAGGTAAAAAAAATAAATTCCCAATTTTTTTTATTAAAAAAAAAAGAAGCATTTTATGAATTTGGGTGATGTAACAGAAACAATGGACAAAGACAGTAGTTTCAACAACCTCATCCTCAATATGAATTGAGCCCATCATCATAGGATTGGTTTCACATACAACTTGTTCATGTTTTTCTCATCAAAATCATAAAATTAATCTTTACCTAATTAACTCAAGAGAGACTATAAAGTTTAAACTCATACATACTGTTTTTGTTTGGTATTACAATATGGACTACTCTTGACACAAACAAACTATTAACCAAAATTAAAACCACTGTCACAACAATAATTAATAATATATCCTAACCACAACCACAATAATATAAGTCAATAATCATAATAATAACAATAAATGGGGAATTTTCTTTTAATAAGTCCAGAGGCAGTCAAGCTCATGTGGACCAGAAGAGGTTTCACCTTTCATTTCACCACTCTCTTGAGACAGGCACACAATCTCCTCCTCTGTCTTGTTGAAGCTCAGGCTCACAGGGTCCTCCTGAACCAGAGGAAACGAGCCATAATTCAAGAACCCGCATTGGTTCTGGACCGCTTGGCTCCACGGGAATGCGTTTGGATCAGGAACCGGAGGAGCCGACGAGGGAACATGGAATTGAGGCATATGATTGTTGAGATAGTTCATGCTCATCACCCCTATGTCTTCTTGCTGGTTTTTGGAGAAGCAGTGCACGTGGCCGGATTCCGGCAGGGCGGGGTTGTTGTCGTTGTCGACCCTTCTGAGCGGCGATGAATCCATCAGCGGCGGCATGATGGACGTCTTGTTGTCCAGCAGCCCCGAGAAGTCGTCTTTTTTCCCACCGGAGCCTTTGTGGAACACTCTGCTAATCACCCAATCACTCTGCTGCAAGAGGAAAACAGAGTTGAAAAAACAGGGGAAAACAGAGTAAAAACAGGGGGGGGGGGGAACAGGGTAAAAAAACAGGGGAAAACAGGGGGAAATGTTAGTGAACCTGAGAATCAGAGGGGAAGCTCCGGAGGGAAAATTTGCCTTCAAGTCTGTACTCATGGCAGACCCAATTTGTTTTTTCCCCCTTGGGAGCCCTACCCTGGTAAAAAACAAGGGTTTTCTTCATTCCGACAAGGCTTTTTCCCCTGAAAATCTCCTTGTCTTTCCCTGTTGCCTTCCAGTACCCAGAAGCAGTGGCTCTGTTGGTTCTCAGCCCTGTTGGGTACTTCTTGTCCCTCACACAAAAGAAATACCACTCCTTTTCCCCAATTCTCGACTTCCCTATTAATAACCAAACAAGAACAAATCAATTTCCATTCAATAATAAGCTCGATCATCATCGGACACGTAAATCAAAAGAAGCTAAGAACGAGAAGAAGAAGAAGAATGAGAGGAATTGGAATCTTATAAATAAAGTTGAATTACATGGTAAATCCCAAGGCTCAACCCGGTTCATGTCGACCTCTCCAATGGCAAAAGCAGAGAAAGAGCTGTCAAGAACCTTCTTTGAGAGATAATGGGTGATGAGCTCTTCATCGGTGGGATGGAACCGGAACCCGGGGGGCAGATCCATCATCTGCTGCTGCTGTTCTTCAGCTTCTTTTCCTAAGCTTTCCATCACTGGTTTTCTCTTTAAATATGTAAAGGATGAACAAAAGAGATGATGGATGGGTGGGTGTGGGTGGCGGTGGAGAAAGGTGGGGAAAGAAATGGGGGAAAAAAGGGCTGGGAAGGGGAATGAATAGATGAAGGGGAAAATAAAGAGAGGAGTTTGGGGGAGGGGAGAAGGTATAAATAAACACACTACTTGTGGAGATTTGGTGCCGTAGAAACGTGAAATGTAAGCAAAGAAAGAATGGGTAACGGTTAAGGAGAGGTTTTCTTGTTTTTGTTTTTGTTTTTGTTTTTGTTTTTGTTTTTGTGGGGTTTCCATATTATGATCATCGTCTTCAATTTACTGAGTATTAGCCAACCCTGCAACACAACACAACAGACCACCTATGTGACCTATACACACAATAAATACACAAAAAACAGCACAGGTTATTCCCCCCAATTCCTATTTTTGACCAACCCCAACCCCACTACTTTCTTCATCTCTCTCTTCTATTTCAGGTTCTTTTTCTCATTTATTGCTAATTATTATCTCCATTTTTTTGTTTTGTTTTTTAGATATATATATATCTATATTCATGTTCACCCACAGACTTATCTAGCTATCTCTTTGCCATCTTATTCATTTTTTAAACTGAAATAGTGATTTCATAGAAATAGTATTTTTCATTTATTATTCAAATCGTCAAAGTATATATACTCCCTCCATTCTATGAAAGTGTTCCTATTTTGACTTTGTGTTAAAAGTAAGGTAGTGTTAAATTGTACTCCCTCCGTTCTATAATGATCTTAATAGAGCACTATTCCAACTTTACGGGAATTTATATTTATTTATGTTTTTTCATGGCCTATATGATAAAATAAAATATTCTTGTCACCACTTGTTTTGTTGAACTTTTGGTGTAGTTTTTAAATATGTATGTTTTATTTTTTATTTCTATATCAATATTTAAATAAAATAGATTGAAAAAACTTGAGATTTTTCTTCGTTTTGCGAACCGGTAAGATCAATATAGGACGGAGGGAGTAGTTGACTTCCAATTTTGCCCTTGATGTGATGAGTAAAAGTAAGATGTGATAGATTGAGTATTAGAGAAAAAGTATGATGTGATAGGTAGGGTATGAAAAAGTAAGGGTAAAAGTGAGAATTTAATAGAAAGTGGAAGTATTTTGTTGAAAGTAAAAAAAATGAAAGAGAAAGAGTTTTTGAGAACGGATGGAGTATGTTTAATTTCTATATCTAATTTTCATATGTCATTCGACAAAACAGTCTTGTCACCTGCTATTATGTAGGACTTTTGAAATATATAAGTTTTACTTGTAATATGAAATGAGCATATACATTGGGGGTATTTTTCTGCGGTTGTGCCCTGCGACGTACATCTCGGTAACATCTAATACGAAATATTATTTTTATTTAACTAGTAATTTAAGTCGTGTCATGCACAGATGGAACGAAAGCTTTTTTTTACTCTTAATATTTTTCTTCATAGTTAATGGTTGAAAAATCCAACATAATACAATAGCGACCTCAAGAATTTAGTGAACAATATTCCCTAACCATTTGCTAATGGAAATTCTTTTATATATCTATGGAAATGAACATGTAAATGTATAATTTAAATCCTTTTTTGGAAAACTTTGGGATGTACCACATTTCTAGTGAACTTGCAAAGACTACTGCTGTTATTTAAAACTAATACTTTCAATCATGTCTTTGCTTCACTCGCAAAGCAGTAACGCCAATTTGGTCATGAATGAATACTGATTTGGTAAAAGGAATCAAATAAAGTACAATGTTTAATCTTGACTCTACTTATTGATAGTCATAACAAAACATAAAGATATCAAAACTTTCTTGTTTGAAACTTTATAGGTAGTCCAGAATCAGCCGTTACAAAAAACATTTGGGATATGTAAACTTAATCCCCACCATTGTTTTCTGATACTACAGTTGCAGCGATGATGTTTTTTCGCAACTCCTCGACAATTAAACTTGTATAATCGAGATGTTTGATCAATACTTATCAATAACATATGATTGGTACTCCATTCTTTAAAACTATTTTGTGGTTCGAAACCATTATACTGAAACTTACCGAAAGAAAAATATGCAAGACCACACTAAATGAAGCAATTATGGAATATGTAGCTAATTGAGGTAAAATTGAAGAAGAATACAAATTGAATGTGCACGATATAATGGAAAAGGAATAATAATTAAATATAAATTTAGGATACAGACCAATTTACAGGGGTTGCAGCACCAAAGAAATTTTCCGATTTCAATTTTGGTATTTCTGAGACTTTCGTTTGGTGAAGAAGAGACGACACTTCTCAAATTAGGATCTCAATTTTGCGATTTTGGATCTCAATTAAGAGAGAGCAGCGGTGAAATATTTTTTTATAGTTTCTTTCGGTGGAGAAGAGACACTGATTTTCAGAGCATTGGCGGAGTAATTTTTTATAGTTTCCTTATGTAAAAGAGACGTTATTTTGTTTTTAATTTTCGTCGGTGAAGACGAGAAGCAAAAGTAAATGTTAATATATTTTTATTAGAGCTGGTAAATTGATTGGTCAGGTTGGTTTCGGTTACTTCGAGTTCGTAATACTACGGGTTTGGGTCAATTCAGATTCAAGTTGAGAACTGTATGCATGTTCATGACCCAATATCATTGAGTTCGGGCTGATCCAACAGATTATGGCTTTAGTTTTAAAAATTTTTAAATTTATATTAACACCTGCATTTCGCTTTTAATAAAATTAAAATGTCAAAAAATATGTATTAAATCTATAATATTATTTTATTTTAAATTTGAATTAATTTTTAGGTAGAAAAAAAATATAAAGAATTAAAAAAAATTAATAATTTTTGAAAAAAATACGATTGTTTTACAATATCATTAAAATTTTAACCGATATAAATTAATACACTAAAAACAAGTACTAAGAAGAAACATAATTAAAATCTTATTTTTGTAACATTATATTTTATAGTAAAGTATATGATTTTGAAAATCTCTTGCATTAGCGGGTCGGTCAAGTCGGATTTGAGTTTGGTCGGGTTTGACCCATTTTTAGCAGGTTAATTCAGGTTTGGTCAAATTCGAGTTCGGTCAAGAACACCTTTGTTCAAAACCAAGTGTTTTCCGGTTGGGTTTTGGGTCAAAACAGGTTGGGTAATTTTTTGTCAGCTATTTGCATAGTAATACGTTGCCCCTAAATATTTGTCTAATTTTGACTTTTAGTAGGCAACTATTTTTGACATTTGACCTACAATTATGTAAAATATATATGATATATTTTTTAGATAAAATAATACTTTGAAAATATTTTGACCAAAAAAATTAGAAATAGACAAAAACTCAGTGACGGAGAGAAAAATATTTTATTAACCCATAATTATTAGGCTCGTGCTTTTTTCGTTTAGATCAAAACATTGGATGGATGATAGCGAATCTTATTGCACTTGAAGAAATTCACTCCCATTTTCTTCAAATAATAGGGACTAGGGAGTATCTTTATCTAGCTAGCAATGCAAGAACATTTTGATTCAGGTAATTAATTTCGGTTGAAATGTACTCCATACTAATTAAGTTCTTCAATTTTTTGAAAGATTTCATTAATTATATATCTTTTCCTAACAGATACTCCCTCCGTCCCTTAAACTCCTTCCCCTTTTTTTCTTGTTCCACTAACTCATTCTCTTATCTATTAAAAAAACCACTTTTACCCATTACTTTTTCATACCCTGCCTATCACATTTTACTTTTACCCATTACATCAAATATATTTTTAGAAAGTCAACACCAAAATAACTCTTCCTTAATTTCCCAAAAAGTCAATAAGGGAACGACTTTAAGAGACGGATGGAGTATATAAATGGAGCTTAAAGCTTGAACTACATTATTATTAGTGTGACACCTTAGAAAATATAATATTTCCTCCCTCCTAAATTCATTGTCCCATTAAGAATAATCGAGATTGATTGAGTTTTTATTTTAACCCATGCCAATTTATTTAGATAGTAATACAAAATTTTAAAACAAATTTTATTCCTTAAAATAAAACAAGAAATAACAATAATATGTATTTTTAATAAATCATTCACCAAAATAATGAAATGAGACGGTGAATCCAATCCGGAAAGTAGTCTACAAGTGGCACCTTGTACTAGTAATTAAGGTGCATGAAAAAGTTAAATCTCACATTTAAAATAAGACAAGAGTTTTGGAAGATTTAATATCCGTTCTTTTTGTTGACTAGAGGTTCTTAAAATTAGGGATCTACAAAGCGGGTGAATTGAGGTGATTGGGTGAAACTCTATTTATTAAAAAAATTGATTTTATATATAAGTGGTTAATTTTTATCTAAAATTTTATCCGTTCTCGAACCACTAGAATTTAAAAAATCACATAATGACACAGTGTGATATAAGAATACACACTAAAAATGTGATGGAAAAAGTGATGAGAATGTTATATGGCAATGTGATCCCTCAACTATCGGCAGTCTGTGGTGGCACTCTAATGACTGACATTGACAAATGATAGTATGGTAAAAATAGTGTGGTAGTTAGAATGTGACAATGTGGTTAGTGTGACAATGTTACAATGACAGTGAAAATTTCTATTTTGGTCTTAAAAGAGTTAGAAGTCACATTTTGGTATTTTCATATTTTTTTATTCTTATCTATAGAGTTTTCTTCTGAAATTTTAACATGATATCAAAGAAGGTCCGGTATGGGTACAATTCTTTCTAGTTATTTGGACGTGGCAATATGAGCTACATATCCGTAGTTTGTGTTAAGTTGGCTACAAAAAATTAAGCTGCCACCGCCTATTGTACGTGTCTGCATGTGTGAAAATTACGACTTAATTTGAGACATCCGGAAAGATAGAAAAAATTGCACTAAACAGGATTAAAACATAAGTTATTTTTTAATGTAGGAGTTAAATTTTTTTATCCTTAAATTGGACTTAATAATGTCTAGTGAGAGGAATAATGTCCATTCATCGTAGACATTTTACTTGAATAATGACCAATGATCCTACATTGAGAAATAAAAACATATGATCTTATATTGAAAAAATCATTGATGCTGACTAGATTTTGACCATTGACCGCCGCCTGCCGCCGCCGTAGATGTCTGAATCCACCGCCGGCAACCACCGCTGCTCTGCCGCCTGCCGCCTGCCGCTGACCGGTGTTGCTATTTTTTTTTTTATTATTAATTTTTAATTTTCAAAATTTAAAAAAAAGGCGAGTTTTGATGTTCAAAGTGGTGAGCTTTACTTTATTTCTAGGTGAACTTTGCGTCATCTCACTGAAGCATGTCATCTCACCATAAAGTGTCATCTCACTGGAGTCAATCCTATATATATATATATATATATATATATATATATATATATATATATATATATATATATATAGGATTGACTCGGGTCGTGGCAAATTAAAAAAATTGTGCCAATTGATTGAATAATTGGTATAGACTTTTGGTGCTGGAGATTCTTCAATTCCCTCCTCATCTGGCTAGCTAAGCTAATTAATTAAGCTGTGCACGGCCGATGTATATATATTGTTGGCAATCACCGCGATCATATCAAATAATAACTAAAAATATGCATAGAAATATAATTTATTTTGAGACCGTAATGATGGAGAAAATAAGTACTCCGTAAGATGTAACTTTGTGTTACATTATGCAATGAATCAACTAAATTCAAAAAAAAAAAATTGTCTTAATTCAATTATTGCCAATGAAATATCGAAGCGAACAAAGTAATAATGTACCTAATATTCGTTATATTACCTGCTTAATTACATCATACTCACTATAAACGTGACAAAAAATTACTTTACCTACCTTAGTCTTTTCATTTTTATTATATTAATTTCTTAAATAATGTTTGGTAAATTTTACTTTACGTACTTTTAGGTATATTTACAATATTTAATTTTGAAAATAAAGCATTCTACAAATGTATTTTAAAAATATGTTAGTTACTCCCGTCGTTTTAATTTTAGTTGTTTATTTTCTATTTTTACCCATTTTTGTTATATATTTGATAAAAATAATATAGTCTCTTCATCCTTTGATTTGTAAATCTTTTCATGTAGCTTTTTAATTTTTAAATTCTGCACCAATTTTCAAATAAATTGAATTGAAAACAAAATTGATGAGTAGAATTTAAGATGGGGAAAATGTTATTGTTAAGGTATAAGACGTGTTGATTTACATTAGAAGATTGAATCTAATTAATTACTTAGTTTAACTCAAGAGCTTATTTATTCATTATTATTTTTTTCTCATATTTCTAATGTGTGATACTCTCTAACAATAAGTTCATCCAAACATCGTAAACAGCAAGATACGATTTAAATTGGGAAGGAGAGATCAAGTTGTAACTATGTCGTCCCTCCATAGAATCATATATAGATCAGATATGTAATGCCTCATGTCTAGCTAGCTTCTTGATTCTTTTAATTTTAACTTCATATTTAATTTTTCTTATAATGAAACTAAAAGTGCATTTCATAATGAAACTAATAATGCTAAAGTGGTCAAGTTATAGTTCATATAATAATAATGTATTTCTCATGCAAATGATAATAAAAGTTTATAAATTCCAATGTACGAAAAACAAACTATAAATTTTATTTTGAGATCAATATAATTCATGCATGATAAGATCAATATAACTCAAGATAATTAAAGTGGGTATGTATAATAATTTTAGTTGTGAAAAAAGTCTCTGCATCTATCCATATTTATTTCCTTTCACACATGATAGTATTATTATTATTATTGATCATGATAATGATATGGATGGATAGGTTAGTGTCATGGGCAGTGGGCACAATTAGGCAGCTGAGGTATGTTTATGCTTCGAACCAAGTAAACTACTACATCTATCCCTCTTTACTTTAACAAAAAAGATTATTTTTACCGTTTTTTCTTGATAAAGTGATAATTAATCTTTTTGGGACAGAGAGAATATATTACTCCATATAAACACCAATATGATAAGACCAAATAAAAAGTACATCATTATTCAGAACAAAAATGAGCATGTGGTCCAAAGCCAAACAATGTTTTTTAAAAAAAAATAATCATAAATGTACATTTGTCACCCATAAAATGGCACCACCCATTTCTCTTTTAGTTTGTCAAAAAAAGAAGAAAATAAGATTCTTGTAGAAGTGCCCCCACCATTTCTTTGACAAGAAAGGAGAAGATGATGACTCAGGCTATGTTGCTGGCACCTTCACATCAACAATAAAAAAGATGATCTCCATTCTCGAGGGTTCCCTCAGATTCTACATGATGGTCATTGAAAAGAGATAAATTAGATTTTGATTACAGATTGGTAGCAAAGAGTGAAGCCTTCACTTAGTACTTGTAGATGCTAAGCCTTATGCTTAGCATAGTTGCGCCCAGCGCAGTTGCTAGAAATCGAACTCGAGTCTTCCCCTTTAGTACTTCTTGCCTTGCTAACTGCGCAACGCCCACCGGCACCTTCACATTAACAAAAATTAACAATTTGTAAGTGCCAAGCAATGAATTTCACAAAATACAATTAATATTGAACAATAATTATTGAACTATATATCAAGAAATAATACTCCCTCCGTCCTATAATGATCTTCCCGGTTCGCAAAACGAAGAAAAATCCCAAGTTTTTTCAATCTATTTTATTTAAATATTGGTATAGAAATAAAAAATAAAACATACATATTTAAAAACTACACCAAAAGTTCAACAAAACAAGTGGTGACAAGAATATATTATTTTATCATATAGGCCATGAAAAAACACAAATAAATATAAATTCCCGTGAAGTTGAAATAGTATTCTGGGAAGATCATTATAAGACGGAGGGAGTAATTATTCTTCATTCCCATGGAAATGCAAATTATGCAATGAAGCTTTAGGCATTGAAGAGATGGCCCATGACAAGATGCAGAAGCTTTAGCTGTTCATATTTGGTGAGTTTAGGACAACGGCTTTTGGATCATTCGAACCTAATGTTTTTTTGGAAATTTTTAAAACTCCAAAAGCTTCTGTTTCCATTTTCAAAATTCCAAAAAGGACCCTTTTGGAATATTTGTACTCCCTCCGTCCATCAAATAAAGTTTACGTTTTTTTATTTCTTTGTCCATAAAAAATGTAGAAATTACCCTAAATAGAACTAAAACACCTAAATAGAACTAAAACATAGAGAAAAATACCAAAATAGGACTTTCATGTCTTTTTTCGAAATATGACTTCCACTGTAGTAATGTGGCACTGTACATGTGCACATTACTATACTTTTTTTGTAATGTACATGACCATGTTTGGTAATGTAAGTCCTATTTTAGGAATAAAAATATGGAAATTCTTTTTGGTATATTTTTAATGCTTTAATCATACTTTGGTCGTCTTTCTCCCTAAAAAATGCTCCTTGTTTTTTATTCACTTCGTCTCTAAAAAAAGATTCAGTTTAGTTTATAGGATACAATATTTCATCAAAATTATATTTAGTTTAATTTATTTTAATATTTGTATAGAATTTGAATTTTGAAACCATAGATTTTTTTATAAAATAGGTGTTGACACAACTATTTTATTGTCACAATATAATGCTAGAATATAAAAAACCACTCATGGGCCACAACAAAAAACATTGCACGTGAAAATTTAAATTTTTTTAAAACTGGGTGTGTAGCGTTGAGTTTCAAACTCGTGACCCCCATAATCAATAATGCTCTGATACGATGTCAAAGAATCAACTCAACCAAAAATTCAAACTTGTAGTTATGGTCCAGATGAAAAGGATTTTTTATATTCTAACATATAACCATTCTCAAATGCAAAAAGGTTTGATTGACTAAGGTCTTTTTTGGAAATAACAGTTTTTATGATCTTTAATATTTTAGATAAAAAATTAATCGTATATATTATCTTCGAAAATGATAAAATTAAACGCTATCATCAAATAATCTTTTCAAAAAATTAACACTAAAACTATGTTTGGTTCAAGAATTTTGGAAGGAAAAGAAAAGAAAATGATTTTCTCTTATTTTTGATACTCGACTTCCGCGAGATCAATCGGCAAAGAGGGAGAGAAGAAACCTTGACGCGGCTGAGATAACCACGAAGGCAGAAAGGTTGGGAGAATTAGGGTTTTGGGGAATAAAAGTTGGTTATTATTAATGATAAGGGTTCGTCCCTTTAAATAGAGTTTCCCCATTCCTAATTAATCTAATTTTCTACCCTGTCGGTTCAAGAAAAGCATCGAGGTAAAGAACCGAAAAGAAACCCTCGAAGGAGCTTATAACCCGCTCACCTAGAAAAAATCTACGTTACAAAATATTAATAAAATATTAAACATAATCTCGGTATCATCGGGGTGGCCCGACGTTCCTCCTTGGTCGTACGGTTGCTGGGTCACCACTTGGTTCCCTATCCTCCTCATGTACGGTATCCACTCCCCCGCCCACGGAAATCGCCTTGTCCTCAAGGCGAAGATCGGGATAGTGTTGTTGGAGAACTGATGCCGGTTCCCACGTAGCATCAGTATCGGTGCCATCGGACCAACGAACTAGCCACTGCTCCTGAGCAACCCCATCCACCAGCATCGGCCGGCAAAGAGGGAGAGAAGAAACCTTGACGCGGCTGAGATAACCACGAAGGCAGAAAGGTTGGGAGAATTAGGGTTTTGGGGAATAAAAGTTGGTTATTATTAATGATAAGGGTTCGTCCCTTTAAATAGAGTTTCCCCATTCCTAATTAATCTAATTTTCTACCTTGTCGGTTCAAGAAAAGCATCGAGGTAAAGAACCGAAAAGAAACCCTCGAAGGAGCTTATAACCCGCTCACCTAGAAAAAATCTACGTTACAAAATATTAATAAAATATTAAACATAATCTCGGTATCGTCGGGGTGGCCCGACGTTCCTCCTTGGTCGTACGGTTGCTGGGTCACCACTTGGTTCCCTATCCTCCTCATGTACGGTATCAATTTTTCCCACCAAAATGGGAGGAATTTGGTTTTCCCTCCATTTAGGCTTTGTTTGGTAATAGCGTTTTCGATTAGCGTTAGCGTTTTGGATAAACTTTTAACTGTGCAGATTAATTCTGAAAATGCTAACGCTAAAGGTTACTGTCGGATAGCTTTTTCAAAACACTAACGCTAATCTCTGACGCTGATGCCAAACGGAGCCTTAGTACATTTGTCTTTTTATTTTCTTTTTCTTCCATTTTTTCTCTACAACCAAACATAAAAAACTGTTTTGTACTTCATTTTCTTTTCTTTTCCCTTTAAAATTTCTTGAACCAGTGTAAAGTTATTTGTAAACACCTGCATACTTAGAAAAAAGTTGGGCAAGTTCAATGGTTTGTTGAAAGGTGTTGTAAATAGCTCCAAAAAAAAAGAATGCTGGTTTTTAGTTGGAGTCGGGAGAATGTTTGTCTTTGCATTTGCATTTATTGCTTCTAATTCTGACCAATAAGTTGTCCCATGCACAATACGGACACCAATGTTTCTTTCCCAAAACTATAAGGGCATAGATAGGTGAACTGGTTCAAGAAGAGAGTGTCAAACATGTTGATCTTATGGTTGAATTCTAACAGCGACAAAGCGTGAGTTCTATTATTTGTAATAACTTCTTGTGTGCATCGGGCACAAGACGACTTCTCTAAGGAGCAAATTGAAATTATACCATGAATCCATGAGTTACCCTCTTCACAATCCTGTCATGGCAGGGTGTGGGGCTGCCCGGATGGGCGTTCCACCTTTATTTCCCAAAACTATAATTAATAATGTGAAACCCATTTGACGATAATAACATTCATTTCGCGAATTGATGATAATTTTATTAAAGTGTTAGAAAAATGACTTTTCAAGTAAATTTGATTAAACACCTAAAATTAGCTAGACATGACAAAAAATGATTCGTCCTATTTTTAAACTGAAATCTGACCCGAACATATTTAATTTTGAACAAAGATTTAGTTGACCAAACCCGATCGAAATGACCCGTTCAAAATGTGTCAAACCCCCGAGCCCGAATCCTACTTGACCGACCCGCTAGTGTAAGAGCTTTTCAAATTATATACTTTATTATAAAATATAATGCTATAAAAACAAAGTTATAATTATATTTTCTCCTTACTACTCATCTTTAGTGTATACATTTATATTTTCGGAAAATATTTTAATTATATTGCATAATTTTTTACTTGTTTCCAAAACTTATGCATTTTTTCATTCTTTATATTTATTTATATATTTAAAAAATACTACTGAATTTAAAATAAAATAAACTAATAAATTTAATGCATATTTTTTAATAGTTTAAACTTATTCAATGCAAAATGCAAGCGTTAATATCAATTTAAAAAATTTAAATACCAAAGTCATAACCCGTTGGGATGAAAATATAATTTTACATTTGATTTTTAAGTAATGAGTGAATTGCCTTTTTTATTTACTATTTTAACTAATTAATATTTTCAAATATATTTGTTTAAGGACTGAATCAAATAAATTTATATTCATATCCTTTGGTGTAGCAAATAACAAATATTATTCGTATTCGGATTTGATTTTTTTTAATATACGGATCAGTACAAACGAATATGAATCACGAATCTTTTAGTTCATTTACAACTCTACTTAGAAGGGGGGTGGGAGAAGTGCACTTACGAAGAACTAGAAGGAGGTATGAATTGCTTGCCAGTGATTAGACAAGACTTGCGACTTTTTATTTTTATTGAGAATATGACTTTAGATAAAAGTGTTTGAAGATAAAATTAAAGTAGTAAGGTAAGCCTCTCGAGCTAATAGTAGTCTTTTGTACTTGTTCTGCATGCTTTTTTATGTCTTGTATGGTTGATATTTTTTTATTAGAGTATTTTTCTTGTGTTATCTTTAGCGCGTTCTCATCACTGGTGTATCTGTGTTCTGTTATTAATCACGTATGATTTTTAAATTTTTTATTTGTATGCATTTTTGCCTTCTATCACTCTTTTTTATTGTTAAATAATACGGAGTATAAATTAAAATAGATTTGAAGAAGAAGAATAGAGATGTGCCTGATCAACACCCCTGAATGGTGATGTGATGTGGTAGGAAAAAGAAAAACTGACGTAACGCTGAAAGGCGAGATGAGATAACGTCATGGGTTTGATCCACATCTTATAGCCTAATGTATCAAGCAGGGGCGGAGGAGGGGGGGGCTGTCGGGGCATGTGCCCCCCGGCGAAGCTATGGTGAAGAGTCCTTTACAGGAGTATGTTAGTTACCGGCATCGTTGTGCCCCTCCGACATGCTCGAGCTTCCCAGATCTAGTTGTCGACGACTTGCCGTCTCTGCTCTCTTTTCCTCAAATAGTTTTACGGAGTATTTATTGGGTTATTTTAACTCCGTTACTTTACTAAACGATGACGTTTTAGTCTTGGGAGTTAGTTGATGGTTTAGAAAAAAACAAACAGTGCCCTTTCATCCAATCCTCACATCCTCTTTTACTTTTCTTAAATACTCTTTATTTGTTTGCTTTTATTATTCCGTAGTAGTAACTAGTGTAGAACCCATTTACATCCTCCCTCAAATATTCTGTTTTTTCTTGATTTATGAAATTTGATTGAAAATATTTTTTATTAAATTTATAAGAATCATCACAAATAAGATTAAAACATATGAAAAATATTAAATATGAGCTCCATATTTTTTGTCTTCTAAATAGAAATTATATTTTCTATATTTTACTATTTCTTTAATCTTTTTTAGCAAATTTATTTAATTATAAATGTAAAATTTTTAAATAAAAATTATATTTTTAAAATTATATAAAAAAATTAAAAACTAATAAGTTTATATTAACTTATGAAAATAAGTAAAAATAGATAATTAAAATTTGACTATGTTAACAATAACTAGAAATAAAGTTTTAGTGCGTAAGGAATAAATTGCAAATAGTTATTGATTTGTTTTTGATAGATTATTATTAATCTATAAATCTATAGTATATCTAATTACTTTGATTGGAATTCAATTAATGATGTTGTTATTTTATTAACAATGATTTTATATAATTTTGAGCAAATTCGTTACTCCGTAGATGACAAATGACCAAAATCTTATTCAAGAAGCAAAAGTTAGTACTCCTTATTTGGTATGATTAAGAATAATGACATTTTGTTGTTATATTTTTGTATATGATTTTAATCTTTGAGATACAATCTATTATTGAGTTATCCATTTATATTGTAGTTAAAAATTTGGGAGTATTGCTTTGGACTCTCCCGACCCCGAGTGTGCCCCCCACTAGTGACCTCCTGGCTCCGCCACTGGTATCAAGCCCCCTAAAAATTGACAAGCAATATGATCACCATTAATTATTAGTAGCAAATACTCCCTTCGTCTCACAATTCAGTATAACTTTTTCAATTCAATATCTCGATAATTTTTATTTATTTATATTTTTTATCAATTATTTGATATTACAAAATATTCTTATACCTCTTGTTTTATAAGTAAAATTTTTGACGGAATTTTTAAATTTTTTGTTTTTATTTTTATATCAATTTTCAAAATTAATTGATTTTAAAAAACACGAGATTCTACCTCGTAAAACTAAAATTTTAAATTAATAAATATGAAATACAAATTAGTTTAATCAAATAATACTTCATCTCTACCTTAATAATATTTCATATTTCCTTTCGTGTGCATCCCAAAACAATTCACTTTTAAATAGGGGTAAGCGTGGTACGATATTTGGTTCGCACCGACGGCGTACCAAATATTTCAGTTCGGTATGATATGTTACATCGTACCGATCTTAATCCTGAAGTAACGATTCGGTATGGTCTGGTTTTAGTTTCGGTAAATATTGTGATGAATATATATACGTATCTAGTTTACACTTTGAAATGTACAAAACTTTTTACTTGAAAAAATTGAAAGTACATTCATATAAATAAACATAAACATTTGAAAAATAAATAATTAAATGCATGAAATGCTTATAAAACTTAGTTTAGTTTGTCTCACAAACAAAAGCAAACGAATGACAATAAAATAGTATTTCAAATGTTTGTTACTCCGTGTATTTTTTTCATATTCATCTATAAAATATTAAAATTCAAATAAATGATTATTTAAATAAAAGATTATTGGTAATATCATCTACACTTGGACCAACTTTTCAAAATCATTTTATTTTTTAAAGAAGAAATATAAAAACATTATTATTTTTATAATATATTTGTATATATGTTTGGTTCGGGATTTTTCGGTATGGAAAGTTACCTCGTACCGATCCCAAATACCGAACCGACCATTCGTTCGATATGGTTCGGTTCTTTTTCGATATTTTATCGGTTCGTATTTTTTGGTTCAGTAATCTTGGTTTTTCAAAAAATTTCAGAACCAGTTCGGTACTTGTTCACCCCTACTTTTAACTTTTGAATAAGTTTTCGCAGATATTATTATTTCGTTCTTTAGAATTATTTTTAACCATACAATTTCCTTTTTTTACTCGTTGTGTCTGATTAATTGTGTAATATTATTATGGAACGAAGGGAGTATATAATTTAACCATACAATTTCCATCTTAGTTGTTGTTTTTTGTTTTAATAAGAGGAAAAAATTATATAAATACTCATAGAAATTCAAATTTTATTTACTTTGCTTATCTATTTTAATTATGTATTTGATAAAATAATATAACTATATCATTACTAGTTTTGTAGATCTTATAATGTAGTTTTTAGATATATAATTTTATTTTTTGATTTCACACCACTTTTATTAAACATCATAACACGTAAAAGGAAGATATTTTTTAGAGTACTGGAATCTTTATTTGGTTTTGAGAGATTATTGTGAAATTTTGAATTTCAGAGAGTATTTATACAATTTTTTTCCCTTATTAAAACAAAAAGAACAACTAAGATGTCAACTAAGCATAATTACTTACATGTAAGCATAAGAAAAGCTGATTAGGAATAGTGGGAGTAGCAATGTAAACTTATAGTTTAATTGGGAGCACCAGGGTCTTTTATTAAATTTGAGAGTATTATTGTAAAATTTCAAATTTCTGGAAGTATTTATATCAATTTTTCCTATTATTATTTCTTTCTTTAGCATTGTTTTTAACCATACAATTTCCTTTTTTTTACTCGTTGTGTCTGATTAATTGTGTAATATTATTATGGAACGAAGGGAGTATATATATAGATTTGTGTAGGGATGATGGAGTTAAAAATGTAATCCATTCGTGTACGAAACGCATAAAAAAAATCAGGAAATGGAAAGTTTTTTCATGTAAAGAAACTTAGTCTAATTGCTCTTTCCATTCATAGGAAATGATTTTGATAATCTCTTACTGGTTTTACATGAATATTTAGGGACTAATTAAAAGTATATATTTTTAAAGTGCGAATATATAACATAAAAATGGAATTAGATACGAGTAAGGAAAATCAATGCTTCATATATGATCGATCGTTGTCATTATCTAATAAGAGTACGAGGAAGTTAAGCATTCAAACCTTTATGAAGTCCTAGCAAATACTTGGTCCGTCCCTGAGTATTTGTCCACTTTTGACTTTTGGAACTGTTCATCTAAGCAATTTGACTCATGAAATTCTCTCAATGTCCCTGAGTATTCCGTAAGAAATCACGGAGTAAAACATTAAGAAAGTATCAAAATAAGAGTTTCATATTTTTATTCTGAAAATAGGACTTCACATTATAGTAATGTGGTATTGTACATGTACATATTACTATACTTTTTGATAATGTACATGATCATGATCGATAGTGTAAATGGAATTTAACTCATATTTCGGTAATAAAAACATGAAATTCCTATTTTGGCATATTTCCAAAAAAAAATACTACATTCAAGCCAATTGTGAAACTCATTAAAATTTGATCGAATTGACAAAAACATATTTCATGTCTATATTTGTTCATTTTTCGACGAATCAATTTCTCTTTAGCCTCTTTCAAATAGAATCTCTAATCTTATTTATTTTTCTTTTAAAATTCCTTTTATTGCCATTCGAAATGCACTAGTCATTTAGGTGTTGGATAACGCAAGAAGGATATTGAAGTTGCAGATGACCAGTTTGATGGAATCCCCAGGCTGAAGTTAGTGCCTTGGAACACCATGATCATCTGCCACATGAACTAAGCCAAGGCAATATGTGTGTTTGAAAGAATGCAGAACCTTTATTTATTGGATTTACATCAACATGAAAGGATGAAGCAATAATTAATTCTAGAGCAATATTTTCAGGAATCTTATTAAGCCAAGAAAGTTGAAACCACTATTTTTTTTTTTTTTTGCATTTCCTTAAACATGTGATCCTGAATTTTCAAGTTTTTATTTGGAAATGCAAGTTTTTTTAGGACATGTACAGAGTTCACAGGAGGTAATGTACACAATTCAATTTCAGGAAGATGAAACAAAAGGCCTAAACTGTCAAATATACATATAAATCTTCATTCAAGAACTTTTCTTCTCCTGCTTCTGCTTTTTTTTCCATTCTGCAATCTCAGATTTGATCTTCGCTTCAACACGGGCATGGAAGCCTGGATAAGGTTCATAGCCGAAGAAAGATTGAAGAGCCTGCATCACATATACAGTATTTCAATACATCTCAAAACCATGAATGTACATTTAGTGCGATAAACCCAACCATTTCAATGCTTTCTGAAGAGACAAAGTGTTCATTCTTACCTCCAGCAGGACAAAGAAAGGAGCCATGAGGAATGCCTGTGTGAGATTGTCCAGCAAAGCCGGAGCTCGTTTCTGCAATACAAACGAAGACCCAGACGGGGGTTGATCGATGAATCAAACTCTTTCAGACAGAAGGAAAGGGAAACTATATCAAATCGACATATAGTACCTCAAACACACCATGACCTATGAACTGCCCTGTCCAGCACAACAGCTGGGCTGCAAGAACAACCTGATCAACCAAATGGGAGATTCCACTGTTAACCATTATTACACATTCTGCCCAAAATATGAACTGCTGTATATGTTAATTTTTGAAAAAAACTGCCATTAGATCTCAAGATTCCATCCAAATGCCAAGAACAGAAGTGAAATACAGAAAAATCTTGAAAACCCTAACCTTCCAAGCCAAGGAGAAGCCGAGAAGAAGAGCAAGGCGACTGCTAGAGACCCAACAGAGAAAGCAAACGAGAGCTGCGAAAGAGCCAGCTTTCTTGTCCAGGCACACATAGAAGAGGGCGTAGATCGAGGCCAACAGGAAGCCAGAATTGAACACCAGAAGAGTCCGAGAACCGAGCTGGATCGGAGAAGCGGCGAGAATTGGGGGAGTGAAATACAGGAGGAGCAGAGCGGTGAAGAAAATTGGCCAGACGAAGATCATGTGAATGAAGATGTTGGTCGGGTTGCTGTGGTATGCTCCATAGAAGGCGAAGTGCTTCTCCAAATCAAACAGACCCATACTCCCTTTCTTCTCCTTCCTTCGGCTTTGTCTGATGAAGATGATGATGGGATTGAATAGTAATGAAGAAATGTTTTGGAAAGATTGAAGATTTTTTCGGCTGTGGGGTTGGGTCGATTGCGGATTGTGAAGATGGAACGAAGGGGGGAAGGAGATAAACTCAAGAAATCTGTTTGGTCAATGCGGTATCTCAAAGCTATGGACTTCCGGATACAAACTCCCTCGCTAAAAATAATAATGGTAAGAGCATTTTGGTAGCCTCGTAGGTGTGTTTTATTAAAATTATTTTTAATTTAATTTATTTCAAAAATTTATTGAGTTTTGATTGATCATTTGATAAAATTGAAAATTCTAATCAACTCTTATTTCATAAAAATTTTGATGTAATTTTTAAATATGTAAGTTTTTTTTTTAAATTTCAATTACAATCTTTAAATAATATAAATTTAAAAAAGTTAAAATTTTGTTTCTCATTGGGTTAAGTGTAAAATATTTTAGGATGAAATCAACATTTAATTTTATGTTTTTATTAATCATTTGATAAAATAAAGTATCTAGAGATAGGGGTGGACACGGTACCGTCACTGGCAACGGTACCGCCGGTACCCGCCACCGTCACCGGCAAGGTCGCCGTGTCACCGGTTCCGGGAACCGGTACCGGCGGTACCGGTTCGGTTCCGGTACCGGTATAATTTTTTTTTTTTGATTTGAAATGCAAAAAAGTTAAAAAAAAAGGTGGGGGGCGAAACAATTGCATTCTTTCCTTAAACAATTGCAATTTTTAAACAATTGCAATTTTACAATTGCAATTTTTTATAATTTAAAAATT